TGGAAGGGCTCTGACAGCTTGACAAATGCAATCAGGTGGACACCAGGGATTCTCAAGGGATTGCCAACCCAAACTCTCTGGAGGGTTGAAGAACTTAAGAATTACTCTTGGTGCCTGCAGTTTCCAAATTAAACACAGAGAGATGGTGACTTAGTATTTTCTTCATTTCTGAAGCCTAAAGAAAAATCTCCATGGAAGCCAAAGAGTGGCTGGGGGGGGTGGGAGCCCAGCAGACCCTGAGGCTCACTCCACTTCAGGGTTAGGCTGGCACCTGGCTACCTACATAGATGCCTCAAAGGGATGTCAGAAGCCACTGAACTACAGGCATCAGGATCCCCAGGACACGCAGACCCATGGCAGTCCTTCTTACTGTGCACATGGTGCAGTGTCACCTGGGGCATGAGCTTCAGTGTCTGCTACAGATCTGCCCATGCCTACAGCATCTTTGGTTTTCATCGGAGGTCCCAAGCCATATATGTGTTGATCTGGCCAGTCCATAGTGTCGGAAGACATCATAGCCCAAGCTGGGATAGTTGACCATTAGTATGGCTCCCAAAAGAACTGCAAGGTCACCTGAGATACGCTGATACAGCTCCAAAGGGCATCCCAGTAGTCTTGGGGCTGAAGCACCACCCCTGCAAACAGGTGTGAAGTGAGGGATGGGCTGGCAAAGCCTCCCTGTAGTGCCTTCAGTCATGGTCTACCTCCCAGCCAGGGTTGGGAGTCCCATACCTCAAGGCCCAGCATGGCCCCATTGGGATAACAACCCCTGAAGAGGGAACTCCAACAAGGAGAGACCCATGGGAAATGAGTGAGCCACTGTGACAAGCAGCAGCCATTTGCCCTGTCAGCCTGCCTCCCGCTCGCTGTCAGGTGGCTGTGAAACCACCGGCACCACTGGAGCCGCCGGCCGGGGTCAGCCCTTTCCTACAGAGATGCTCTCAATCTGTTCGCCCCATGTGCACGTTTCCTTCCCTCCCCTCCTCCAGTAAGCAGCAGAGCCATCGCCATCTGGCATTTTCAGCTGCTAAATATTTCATTGCCTTTTTGTTAACAAGGAGAGTGTCTCTGACCGAGGAAGCTGTTGGACCTTCAGTAAATAAACAAGGAGACTCTTAGCAAGCTCTGAGTCCCTTCTCCGCCACCACCACGCCACTACCCAGCGGTAAGATCCTGCAGTTTGTTACTAGGCACCATCTTCATGCTTGTAGGAGGAACATCCTGCTGCAGGATGGCAGGGTAAGGGGGATTGTCATGGGGATCAGTACGGGTTGTCCTTCCCTATCATGTCCTTGTTGCTGCCCCCTTCCCCCAGTAGCAGATATTTTGCTCCTGGTGGCCAAAAGCAACAGGTTCCTCCTGGACATGGTGCTAGCATCTCCTGTGCCAAGCTCTCCTGTCCACAAGTCTCCCAAATGCAAGCCTTCATCCACCCAGCACAGCTGGTTCTTGTCTCTCCACCTAGCATTACACAGAGAAATTTCAGTAGAAGAGTCCTAAAGCCACCATCCCAGCTCTGTCCCCTCTCTCTTAGGCACCTCCAGCTCCACTGCCCGGAAGAGCCATCACGTCGTGCTCAGGCCTGTAACACAGCACTTACAGTGAATCACAGCTCCTCTGACGCTAATCTCAAGCTCATTCTCCTGCCTTTTCCCTGGTCCCTTCACTCCCAGATACCCATGGAAACCCACCTCCAAATATCCAAACTGGTACTTTTCTAGACTGTTCGTTCCAGCTAATCTCACCTCTTATGGTGCTGCTCTTAGAAAAGCTTATGCAAATTATATAGCTGCAGCGTTACCATTAAAATAACCATTGGGAACAACCAGCCAAAAGTAAATCATGTAAATGTTCTAGGAACAGCGCATGCAGCAGAAATGGGAAGAGAGGATTTCTGCTCATACGCTCCAGGAACAGCTTGAACTCAGACCTGTAGGACATGTTCAACCTCTCTCGAGGAGATACCTTCCTTAGAGAGTAGTCGTATACAGAGTGAGAGATCACACGGGCACTGCAGGTCAGAATTAAAGTCACTGTTAAAACACCTAAGCTAAATTTTCACACCAGACATATGAGATAATTCAGCATTTTGCAATACTCCAATGACAGTGCTCTGCAATCGTATTGTAAAGGTCCAAACAAATCCTACAGCATCAACAGACCAGTTCTTATTCCCAGCTATACCTCTGCATTGTGCACTTCCCAATCTTTAATGGCCAGAGGATGAATTATTGTTGTGAATAACAGAGATGGGTGGGTGCTTTCACCTCCAGGAGGTGTTGGGAGAGCTTCCCGTTAGCTGTGTGTGAGGCAGTGCCTCCAGATGCCAACCACAGACAGGCATCCCTCGGTGCAGCTGCTGTCCTGGAGGAGTGACAGCAATGGGCAAGTCAAGAAACACAGGACGGGGCAGGGTTGCAGCTGTGAAAATGAAGCAGTAACATAGAGGCAGAAATCACAATTAATGGTCTACCCAATCTAGCTAGTACTTAGAGGAAAGATGGTAAAATAGGGTCAGAAAATGTGCAGAGTACTAGAGAAAGGCAATACTTCTTTCTGCTCTTTGCAGTGGCTGTGAATGGACAGTGAATGTATGAGCT